AAAATTCTGCTGGCTGTGTCCTCACCTATACAAACGCATGGATCACTGTGGACACACATTCTGGGAAAATTAACTTATAACAACAACAAACACATTCACAAAACAAGATAGTTGAGATTTTATGAAAAGGTTAAGGGAGCCTTGATCGTGTTCAGAGAGAACATCGTTGGTGACTTTGACCAAGGCACTCAGTGCTGCAGAGAGGGTGGAAACCAGATTGGAGGGGATCATATAGGGAGCTGCGAGAAAGGAAGGAGTCAGATGAGAAACAACTCATACAACAACAACTTTTATATAGAGCCTTTCATGCAGGTTAGTGTCTTCGAGTACTGCACAGTGGCAAGGTTGGACATCGAGGAAGGGAAAAGGAAGTGGGAGGTGACCATAGGTGCACTCTGCTTACCTAGTTACAAGCACCTTGGAAAGGAAAGGTAGGTTAAAAATATGTTGGTAGCTGGAGAACATAGTGAGGGGTTGGGGGAAGGGAGTGATGATGGCAATTTTGAAAAAGGAGATACTGAGTCAGTGGATAGGGAGAAGATTCACATGAACAATAATGAGGAAACTTTAGAATAGCAGCCTTGCAAATCTTGCAAGGACAGATATAACAAGTTGGTCCACATTCTTTAACACTGCGTGAGGAAAATGAAATTGAAACAGATATTTGCTGCAATCATGTGTTAAAAGGATTTGAAATTCTAGAATTTGTTTGTCAGTCAGGTGTCTGGCACATGCAACAATAGCCTCAAATTCAACTTTATTTTGTATACCCTTTTGTATACCTTTTGTACACCCTTCACACGGTAGTAACTATATTGGGTAAATAAATTATATCTATTATAATAACATTACAAGCATTCTGTAATCCAAAACTCTCAAAAACAATTACTCTCTTTAAATTGATTCCAGAGACCTGGGTTTGATTCCCGGCAGGACGAAACCTTGAGCAAGTTTCCTTACTCTACATGCCTGATAATAATCCCCCAAGAAAAAAAACAGGAATAAATTGGTCATTTCAATCCACGACTGTGGGACACTGCTGTGCGATATCGGCTTTTGCATTTTGCCCACAAATATACAGTCAATTCACTTTTCAGTGTGTTCTGTGAAGCGCTTTGGGACGTCCTCCCGACGTGAAAAGCGCTATATCAAATGTAAGGATTATTATTATTTACAGTCTATTCTGTGAAGTGCTTTGAGACATCTAGAAGACGTGAAAAGCGCAATATCAAATGCAATTATTATTATTATAGTCAGAACTCTGCAGCTCGTATACTGTCCCGCACCAGGCTTCACCACCACATCACTTCCACCCTCGCTCGCCTCCACTGGCTCCCCATCCCCCAGAGGATCGAATTCAAGATCCTCATCCTCATCTACAAGGCCATTCACTGCCTTGCTGCCTCCTACCTCTCCGACCTACTATCCCCCTACTTACCTGCCCGCATCCTCCGTTCCTCTGGCTCCGGTCTGCTCCACATCCCCTGTCCTAACCGCCCTACCATCGGTGGCCGGGCCTTCAGCCTCTCAGCCCCGAGGCTCTGGAACTCCATACCCCAGTGCCTTCGCCGCCTCCTCCCTTTCCTCCTTCAAGGCCGGTCTCAAGACCTTTCTCTTCGACCGTGCCTTCAGCTCCCCTCTCGACTCTCTACCCTCTCTTCGCTCTCTCCCTTCCCTCCCCTCACCCTGACCATTTTCCCCCTGCTCAGGTCCCGACCCAACGGTCCAGCGCCTTGGGACGTTCTCCTGACGTGAAAGGCGCTCTATAAATAAAATTTTGCTGTTGTTGTTGTTGTACACCACCCCCTCCTTCCACCATGGCTACTACCACTCCCCCCTCCCCTACACTGCTTTGTCCCAATTACTCCCACCTCCCTCTCAACCCCCATCTCCAGATGAAGCCCACCACCTACTGCCTCGATCCCCTCCCCACCCAGCTGCTGGTCACACAACACGCCCCTCCTCTCCCCCATGCTGGCCGACATAGTCAACCAGTCGTTCTCCTTAGGTTCTGTTCCTCTCCCCCTTAAAACCGCTGTCATCACTCCCCTCCTCAAAAAAACTACCCTTGACCTCTCCAGCTTCACAAATTACCAACCCATTTCCAACCTGGCCTTCCTTTACCAAAGCTCATTAGCGACACATTGTCGCTGGTTGGCGACACATTGTTGCTAACCAGCTTTGCTCTCACCCTCTCCTTCCAATCCCTTCTTGAGCCCCTCTAGTCTGGTTTTCGCACTGCTGATAGCACAGAGAGGGTGTTCATTAAGGTCAGAAACAACATCCTCGCTCTCTGAGACCAGGGCTCCCTCTGCCTCCTCGAACTCCTGGACCTCTCTGCTGCATTCAACAGTTGACCACACCATCCTCCTCCTCCCTCATCCACCTCAGTGGGACCACACTATCCTGGTTCGAGTTCTACCTAACAAACCGCCTTCACTTTATCTCCTCAAACGGTTCTCCTCCCGCCCCCACCCGGTCATGTTTGGTGTACACCAGGGCTCCATCCTTGGCCCCTGCCTCTTCCTCATCTATATGCTCCCTTTTGGCAAAGTCATCCGCAGACCATGGGGTAAACTTCCACGTTTATACAGATGACACACAAATCTACTTCTCCTCTAGCTACGACTTCAGTTCCGCCAATGTTCTCTCAGCTTGTCTGGTGGACATCAGGGCCTGGATGAGTGAAAACTTCCTACAACTCAATGTTGACAAGACGGAAGCCATACTCATTGGCTCCCATCAACGTCTTCTATCCTGCGGCTCTGACCTCCTCAACTTCCCATCTATCCTTCAGACCCACCGAACCAGTGTGCAACCAAGGTGTCAGGTTCAACCCACAGCTGTCCTTCCTTCCCCAATTCCGGTCCCTGACCAGGACCACCTTGCTCCACCTCTGCCACATTGCCCGCCTCCGACCGTACCTTACCCCAGATGCAGCTGAAACTCTGGTCCATGCGTTTGTCACCTCCCGACTGGACTTCTCAAATGCCCTCTTTGCCGGACTCCCCAACTCCATCATCCACAGGATCCAACCAATCCAAAACTCCACTGTCCACACTCACCTGTACTACTCTCCATACCCCCATCACACCAGTTCTAGCCAAGCTCCACTGGCTCCCCATCACCGAATGGATCGATTTCAAGATCCTCACACTCGTTTTCAAATCCCTTCATCCCTGGAACCTCCCTACCTCTCTGACCTGATTACCCCCCAACCCAAAACCTGTTGCCTCCGCCCGACTGGCTCCAGCCTTCTGCATGTTCCCCACGCCCTCTGTTCCACCATTGGTGGCCACTCTTTCAAGCACTATGCCCTGAAACTCCGGAACACTCTTCCTCTATCCTTCCACCTTGCCCTTCCTTCCCCATTTTCAGCTCGTGCCTGAAGACCTTCCTTTTCGACGATGCCCACGGTTACCTCCCCCTCCCACCAGCTCGGAGTCATGCTCTGCCACTATCAAGCGCTCTAGGACGTTTTCCTAGGTGAGGGCACTACATAAAAGCAAGTTGTTATTGTTGTTAATCTATTGGTACATCGCTTTTCCAAGGCTATTAATAATCCCTCCCCAAAAAATTTAAAAAAGAATAATTTGGTCACTCAGTCCACGATTGTGTGGGAGTTTGACTGCCAGATTTTGCCCACAAAAAATACAGTATATTCTGTGAAGCGCTTTGAGATGCCTCAAAGACATGATAAGACACTATATCAAATGCAAGGATTATTATTATTAGTAAAGTCCACATTCTCATCACCAGGACCACTTAAATAGAATAGGGCATTGGGCATATCAATGGCAGATAAAATTTAATGAAACAAAATATAAGGATTCATTTTGATGAAAAAATTCTGGTAAGGAGTATGATCCAGGGGGATGTGTGGTGTCTACAACTAATTGACCCTGTCTTCGGTTGTGTTGGCTGGAAGAGGTAAAAGCGACACTCAGGTTTCAGAAGCGGGAGTCGTGGACCTGAGGTGGACCTCAGCTTGTCTCATGATCTCAGAAAGATCTCAGCCGGAGCTGTCTGAGGGTCCTGGGGTATCTTTGAAGGTCCCAGCCACATCATGGAAGTCAGTGGCATAACAATACACCTGGGGCACCCTAACCTACTCTTGCACCAGGGCCCCCTGGGCCACTGGAGAGACACATACAACTGAGCGAGAGAAACAAACTGACAAGAGACAGACAAAGACCCATAGTCAGAGACAGAAAGAGGGGGAGACAGACCCATGTTTACGCTTTTAACGAGCATAAACATAAATAATAAAAATAAATAAACAAATAAAAAACAACAATAATTTGGTCACTTCAATCCAGGACTGTTTGGGGGACACCGCGGTGAGCAATCGGCTGCCGCATTTCACCCACAAATACACAATCAATTCACTTTACAGTATATTCCGTGAAGCGCTTTGAGACGTCTTGAAGGTGTGAAAAGCTCTATATCAAACGCAAGGATTATCATTATTATAGAAACACACAGACAGACACACACACACAGACAGACACACACACACACACACACACAGACAGACAGCTGGAGGGAGACACACACACACAGAGCTGGAGGGAGACACACACACACACACACAGAGCTGGAGGGAGACACACACACACACAGAGCTGGAGGGAGACACACACACACAGAGCTGGAGGGAGACACACACACACACAGAGCTGGAGGGAGACACACACACACACAGAGCTGGAGGGAGACACACACACACACACACAGAGCTGGAGGGAGACACACACACACACAGAGCTGGAGGGAGACACACACACACACACACAGAGCTGGAGGGAGACACACACACACACACAGAGCTGGAGGGAGACACACACACACACAGAGCTGGAGGGAGACACACACACACACACACAGAGCTGGAGGGAGACACACACACACACAGAGCTGGAGGGAGACACACACACACACAGACACACAGACAGACACAGACCGTGGGGGCGGGGCCGCTATCAATCACAGTACGTCACACGGCGCGTCACCGGAGGTGCGGGTGGGCACAAGATGGCGGCGCGGGCGGCCGCGGGCCGGAGGCCGGTGAAGCAGCAGGAGCTGCGCCGGCTGATGAGAGACAAGAAACGCGAGGCCCCGACACACAAGAGGATCCAGTCCCCGCTGGCCAGATATCCTTCAGCCCGAGAGCGAGCGAGAGGCCCCGAGCAGAGCGGGAGGCCCGGGCCTGTCACTGCCCTCACTCACTCACTCACACCCCAGCCCCCAGCCCCCGGGCCTGGTTTAGCCTCTCCCCCCCCCCGCACCCTCACTCCTGCCTTCATCTGCTCCGGGCCCATCATTATCATCATCATCATCATCCCGCCTTGTACCCGGGGAGTGGAGGCTCACACCACTATTGTCTGTCTGGGCTGTTTCTGTGCTGTAATGTTTTATGTAAGGACCTATTTTTTCCCCCCACCCCCACCCCTTCCCAATGTCCACTCTCTCTCTCTCTCTCTCCGGCCGCTGGACACCCGATACCCGTTCATTCCCCTCCTCGGGCATCCCTGAGACTTCCTGAGCCGTATCGTCCACTCGCCTCGTGGTGCGTCAGTTCTTCCTGGGAAGGAGTTTCTCACTGACTTGGCCAATGGCTATTCTCGGCCGCCCAAGCCATGCTTAGCGGGTCAACCAGTCTTAGTACTGGGTGTGCATTTTAAGTTGAGGACTGCCTGCCGTGATGTTTTACATTCATATATAAATGGTGCTCAGTCAGCTATGATTTACTAATCGGCTGAGAGGGACCCTGCAATTTCAGTTATTTAAATAAAAATGTGGTCTGACATTCTCTGACCAGCTAGTGCCTATCCTGGGAGGGAGAAGTGGTCAGCAACATTTCTTTGGAGCTGAATGGCTCTAAGGGGATGTGCTTGGCAACAGAAGGTCAGAATTGCGTCAGTGAGCTTTGGCTGTACGGTTAGTTCTTGAGCCAGCCGGGTCCCTCCAGGGAGCAGATTAGGCAACCTGATTCATAGCCCGGACTTTGAGAGGCTGACCAGTCACTGGGGGCAGGGTTTCTTTCCACACAGCTCTTGTTAACATTGCAAGATAAAGTCCCAAGTGGGAAGGGTGGGCCTAGCTGGACAAGCAGTGGGAAGCTTGCCAGATATTGCTCTCAACAATAAGCTATGTGATTTTAACTGGTAAATTCCAGCAGTATCCCCAAAGCACACGCTGAGGTCACCTAGTCTTGGGGCTTGCTAACCGGCAGCTAAAAATATTCTCTGGAATTGGGTAAGTAGGGTGCCCTCCACTCTCTGGTGGGAGTAAGTGTGCATTCCTTTCCAGACACACAAAACGTTAATGTGTAGATGGCATAAATTTGTGTCTAGTTTGGATACTCTTAAGCATGTGAAGATTTTCCACGTATCATGCTCAGCTACCCAAAAATACTCTTATCAGTAATTTAAAAGATCCTTTTTTCTAATTATCACATGTATCACTGGATAAAATTCATTACTTGGGCACTGACCGTTTTGCAATCTTCCCACCTTATTCTACTGCTTCATTGGCATTCATGTTTGGTTAGTAACAAGTGAAGCTATAGTGTTTGAAAGAAATGGATGAATCACAAACCCTTATTTGTGTTGTAACTGAATTTTGTTCAAGATGATCAATGATTTATTCTTCCTTAACTCAGTTCATGAACATATAACAGTTTGGGTCATCTCAGTTGCGGACTTTGCGCTACTCCAATAAAAAATGAATTGTTGTGGCAGACACACATTCTTGGGAAACAGCATAAAGAGGTAAGTACAATTATGAAAGGGTTGTAAAATTACAGTGCCAAGTGTAAAGGTTGAACTTGAATCTCCAATATTTTGTTTTTTTTTAATTTTGTTACCATAATACTGTATAAAAGACTTGTGGCCCAAATTAAGGCACATAGGGAAGATGGACAGATAACAAAGTGGATAGAGGAATGGCTGAATGGCAAGTGGAAAATATTTGGAATTGAAGGATTTTTTTTGATTGGCAGATAAATAGATAGTATGCCTCAGGGATTGGTGTTGGCACCTGTTTAAATGTCAATGATCAGATGCAGTTGAGCCAATGATATTTTATTATGATATGATAAAGGTGTGTAAGATAATGAAATAATGGGAAAAAAACTCTTCAGCTGGGGATTGAATTCAAGATTGTGACTAAGAGAGTGAAAGGAGAGGTTTAGAAGAATGATTTATCCCAGTGAACTATCAGAGTATGGAATGATTTGTTTGAGTGACTTGAGTGAGTTGGAACATTTAAAAAAGAATTTGACAAATGCATGTTTAAGGGTATAGAAAAAAATGTATGAATTGAGATTAGGATGGATGGCTTCTTGTGGGAGGAACACCATCATGAGAAAATGGGCAGAGTGACCACCTATTTGTGTGATTCATTTTTGTTTTGTTTTTTGATTAGGATCAAATAAACAGCAGTTTCTTAACAGGGAAACCAGAAGTGTATGACTCAGACTTGGAAGAGCTTTACTCCAATGTGATGTATTTCTAGAGCAAAGCTTCTTTGATTCAGTTAGAACCATTATGTGCAAAAACATGTTCTGACAGAGCTAACTTCACATTCAAATATTGGTCTTAACCTTTTGCAATGCTTTTAGAGGTGATGCATGTGGATATTGTGCAATAGGTTTTGGTTGATTGAACACAGCCCTTCATCTGATCTTCAATTGTTGTAAGTGATGCAACAAAGATTGCAACAAGATTTGAAGTATATTGGAGTTACTCTAGATATTGATCATACTGATACCAATTAAATTAATTAATGCAGCATATGGGGAAGATTAAATGTGATCACGTTTTCATGTTAATGGTTCAGATCGTTTCCTTTGTTGCTTTATCTTATTCATCACTGTGAAAAGTCTGTTTTCAGTTGTAAGTTCAGCATGTGGTTTCTTGCAGAATGTTGCAAAGCAGAAATCAGGAATTCAGACACCAGGTCCTTCACTTGTTCACACACCTTCAGTTCCTCCTACAAAGAGGAAAGGCACAGAGGAAGAAACTCAAGCAGTAAAGAAAGCAAAGGGTAATCCTGAATTAAAGATTATAGGGGAAGGAATAGCTTTGAATTATATTCAAATAAAAGTACTCCTATGTATTGTTGAAGAAAAACTTTTAGCAAATAAATTTATTTAACCTCATCTAGTAAAAGGCCTTATCTAGGATACATGCTCTGGGCCGTAGCTGCATTAAACTGGATTGATGGATAATCCTAAATTACATGTTAGGTATTGCTTACACAATTATAATCGGGAATCCCTCAGTTATGTGAACTGTAGGAAATGCATACTAATACAGAAAACCCCTGCTAATTTGTTACTCTAAGGGAAAAGGACTCAGCGACTAGTTATCCGGAATGGCCAGCTGGGTACTGGCCAGCTGTGACTTGTGCGGGCGCTCAGTAGAGTTTGGGTGCCCATGCTCAGATGCAACACTGATCTATTGGAGGGCCCTCCCCCTATCATGTCACAGAGACTTCTATCTATCGGATGGTTGTGCCGTAGTCTCCCACTCCCTATCCTATGATACAATACAAAATTACATTTGTATATAGCCTTAGAGGGCTGAAGGACATGGTGCAGCCCTCCCAATAGATCAGGCCTCTGCAATGCATCTGAGCATGAAGACCCATCTTCTGCTCAGTGCCCACATCAGTCACAGGCTAGGGCAGGAAGCCTCTGTGATGCAAAATGCTATCTTAAAGGACTCGGTATCTCATCAATTTTACATTAAAATTTCTAGAATGTGATTAGTTACGTTTTAAGCAGAGGGAATCCCTCGTTAACATTTTGCATGGGAAACTGCTGGGATATTGGCAGCATGGCTACTTAAGCCAATGTCTACTATTATCAGGAGTTTATTATAGTAACCAAAATTATGTGTAACCAAAAGAAATGTTTTTACAAGAATAATGGTGAATATTTTCCAAATGCAGCTGACATTCCATAGCTGATGTTTATTTGTGTTTTACAGCACTGTGTGTACCTACAACATCCAATGTTTCTGGGTGAGTTATTTGGTCCACAAAGATGGGCAATCTTAGATTCTTGTACTGAATGCAGGTGACATAACCGAGTATAATTAAAGTAACCACTTCTATTCAACAACCATCCTGGAACAGTCCCGACCGAATTTCTATAATAAATCACCTCTGTTCAGCAGCCACCTGACGATGCAATTAGTGGCCACTTTTTTTTTAGCCCAGTCAGTGTACAGACACCCTTTTTAATGGCCAGCTCTAAGTGAATTTAAGTGTAGTTAAGTGTAGAACTTGCATGGGGGAAGGTGAAAGAGATCCGGGGTGTTAGTTGACATATCATTCAGTAATTCAGAATTCAAAAATTTATTTCATGTCAAAACAGTGCAAAAGACAGGACAAACAGAATGCTGGACTATATTGCTAAATCAGTTGAGTTCAGAGCCCCAAATGTCATAGTGCTCTAGTCAGGCAGCATACAATTCTGGTTACTGCAACGGGGGGGTTGCCTAGCCCTACAGGGGGTTGCCTAGCCCTACAGCGAGAGCAAAGTTGTTGGCTGATCCCGAGTGTTAGAGGAATGAGCTATGAACAATGATTAGACAAGCCGAAGATGATGATTATTATTCAGTCTTGAAAGGAGACATTTCAGAGGATACCTTATAGAAGCATATAACATTTAAAAAAAAAGTAAACCGAGAACAAAGAACAACAATAACTTATTTATATAGCGCCCTTCATGCAGGGTAGCGTCCTGGAGCGCTTATAAATCAGAATTAAGAATATAAATAACTGCATGTACAATGGGCTGGGGATTTCAAGAACATGAGAGAAAAGAGCAAGACAAAATCACTGACTTAATTCTTTTCAGGAATTTGTTTGATTTACTTTGGATTTTGCAATGTGCAAGTGCTTTTTGGGACATCCTCCTGACGTGAAAGGCGCTATACAAATGTCATTTTGTATTGTATTTTTTCAAATAAATGTCATTGGGTACATTGGATCATACTTACTAATCCTTACTGTTCACCCACAAAATCTACAATCAATTCACTTTACAGTAAATTCTAAAGCTCTTTGAGACATTTCAAAGACATCATGCGTCAAATGCAAGGATTATAATATCAAAAGAAAAATCTGTAGGGCAATTCTTTTGTCATAATCACTTTTGAAACCTGTAATATTGTACAACATGAGGTAGTTGCCAGGGTTCCAAAAAAGTTCCATTATATAACCGCTCGTTGTTTGCATAGCAAGGTCCTTGACCGATGATTCATTAATCATTTTGGTCCCCAATTTTCACAGGTTGCCAGCTGATTTCATTGATCCACCGAGCCAAGGGTTTCAAAAAACAACCTCTTCAAAACATTCTGACCCCAGCGTGCTAGCGGGAGGTTCTGAGGATGAAGAAGATGACAGCGCAGAGAAAGATGACAAAAAAGATAATTTGGATGAGGCACCCGTTGCTGCTACATTTCAGAAAACTCCTGACCTACCGGCACCAGTACAGCCACAAAGTGACTGCTCCCTTCCTGCAGGTCAGTGACGTATGGACAACTCAGCCTCTTTCAAGACTGTTACTAGTTGAGGAATTCAGTTTTACTAATTTGTTGGGTACTTTTAGCTTACTTACTTTTGGTTTGGGTTCTTATTGGATATTGCCTTTTTCCTTCCCCAAAATGTAAGCGTGAGCTAATTTCCTATTATCACAACTAATGTTGCAAGAACACCTGCCTGGATTATCTACTTTTGTGAAACAGAATTTGTTTTTTTCCATGTAGACCCACACATTCCATCATGAAGTCTTAGCCCAACAGGAAACTAGTCTATCGAATACCCTTTGGTTGAACAGTATGGGTAATTCCAGCAGTAATTTGCAGCTGCCAGTGTATTTTTTAGATCATTTCACTGACTAGTTGGCCTTTGAGAAATTATTCAAGCATTTTCAAAGACCTGCATTTTTTTTAAAAAAAGGTAATATAATTCATACCGAGAAGTGTTTTTTTTTAATCAGAACAATCCATGCTAATGAGTTATGTGCTATGATGTAACTCACTAGCTCGGATTTGTTTTGTTAAGACTGTTGAGCTCTCTTTGCACAAGCTAGGTCTCCTCCGGGTAAATCTGTTTTAAATGATTGATGAGAGTGTATTTCCTGAACACACCCCCATGCCAATTTAGCTTTCTCTGTGTAAAGAATGTCAGGTATGCAGGTGTGGTGTGAGGTGTGGTAATTGATGACTGAATCAGCCTAAGCCTTGTGACTGAATCTGAAATAACCAATTAAGTGACATCCTGTAGCTCAGTGGTTAGAGCACTCGTCTTGCATGTGAGAAACCTGGGTTTGGTTCCCGGCAAGGTGAAATGTTGGGCAAGTTTCCTTACTCCACACTCCACTGTTCACCTAGCAGTAAGTAGGAATCGGTAATTAGTCGATTGGCGGATCACTTTTCTGGGTGTAATAATTCCTTCAAAAAAATATATAATAATAAATTGGTCACTTCAATCCACGACTGTTTGTGCGACACTGCTGTGTGCAATTGGCTACCACGTTTCGCCCACAAAATATACAGTCATTTATTTCACTTTACAGTATATTCTGTGAAGCGCTTTGAGACGTCTAGAAGATGTGATAAAGCGCTATATCAAATGCAAGGATTATAACAATGAAACCATTTGTACTGACAGTTTTGCATAATACTCATTGATATGGTCGAATTATGAAACACAGACAATTTTCTAATGTTTGTATATAATACAGAATCTTTATAACTCCCTCACTATAAATCTAAATTGTTTTTTCCAATAAGTGGCATGATTTGTCTGAAAGGAGCAACAGTCGCTCTTTATCAGCTTTCATGAGGTGAATCCGAAGGCAGGATTAGTCTCATGATTGGAGTCAGGTCAAGGGCTGGCATTGTGTGACAGTTGTTGGGAGTACAATGTTTAGGAAGTGTTGGATCTGAGGATGGGCAGGGAGATTGCTGTTGTGGATGGCGTAACTGTCATTTGCTTTCAAAAGTTCATAATTTCATCCAGGAGCAATTTGTCATTTTCTGTAGACAGAATAATATTTTTACCTTGCTCTCTCAGATTTCTTTGATAGTTGTGCTGCGCCGGTTCCTGTTTCTCATTCGGGATCCATTCGGGGGCTAGAAGAATCAAGCAAACCAGTGGAAAGGTGAAAAATCTGATTGTGGTAACTATTATCTAATTACTGAATAGTTTAGAAATTCCAGCACACTTTAAAGGCAATTGTCGTCATTCTTTGTACTATTACAGTTTTCGAAACTTGATGTATATCATATCATAGCAGTTTGGGTCCGTTAACCGAGACCAAGCTTAAAAACCAATTGTGTGCCTTCGGTCAATTTCATAGAGGGAAAAAATGGAGAAATGCATAGTGCAACGATATTCAGGAGGGTTCAGGAAAAAAGCAGATCATTTTAATTTTAAAACTGAAACCTTGCGTTGGTCAAATAAATGAGAACATTAGAAGTGCCACTAAGATCAAATTATTGTGCCGCTCAACAAGGGTAGGGCAGCCAGTGCATCAGTATCAATACGGGTGTGTCGGTAAACTCAAATGCTCATAGCTCACACATTGGTTCAGTGCTCATAAATCAATGATAGTGGAATCTGAGAGATTACATGAGAATTTCATTGAATAACAGCCACTTATAGAATGTCAGTAACAGCAAGATAAGTTATTTGAGCCTGAATATATAATTGGTGTTGCTGACAAAGAGGGCCTGACCATTGTACCTTTTAATTTGTGTCAAATAGTCATGCGGAGAGACTAGGAGCACCATGTGTTGGTGCACCGTGGTAATGTGCAACAGAGCTATGACATGTAGGTTCTTACCTGGATTCTGCACTCAGTGAATACCCTATCCTAATCTGACCAGGGAGTGGAGCCAGGAAAAAAAGTTGACGCACTTTTCTCCAAGTTGAGAAGTATTTTGCACCTCCTGGACCTAGATTATAGAGCAGTTACCTGGAGCAGGCTGCCTATCCCTGCCAGTGGAAACACTGTTTTATGCAGTGTAACATGAAGGAGCTTAAAAAGTAGCTCTTTTTTGAAAGAGGAAATTTGACCTTTATTTTAAAAAAAGTACACAACTTAACATAACATGTAGGAGCAGGAGTAGGCCATTCGGCCCTTCAAGCTGCCCCGCCATTCAATCATGGCTGATCTTCTAATTTAACTCCAGCTAATACCATAACCCTGCCTTATCCCCATATCCCTTAATCCCTTTTGCAATAAGGAATATATCTATCTCAGGCTTGAATTTGTTCAACTTCATGATATTCGTCCACAAAATATACAGTCAATTCACTTTACAGTATATTCTGTGAAGAGCTTTGAGATGTCTAGAAGACCTGATAAGGTGCTATATCAAATGCAAAGATTATTATTATATTCAAGAGTACTAAGATTTTTTTCTATGTATTAGTGTGATGTTATGGTATTGAATACAATTTGGATTATACGTTTTGCTTGTTCAAAAATGTATTGATGTTCCCCTGTGAGCTTAAAGTGGGATATTCCCATTATATTCTCACATCACCTCAGTTGGTATCATTACCAATAAGCAGAGAATAACTTGCGCTCCTCATTTAGCCTAGTAAGTTTCCCAACAAGTCAACAATAACTCCTAATGACTTTCAAAGATGGTGTGTGTTGTGGATTCTGTTGTAATTGGCAGCCTCTAAGCTGATCAGCATCGTGCTGCTGTTTCAGGAAAGAGAATACAGCGGAGGCTTTGCCTGAGGGATTCTTTGACGATCCAGTGAAGGATGCAAAGGTAAGGACCCTGCAGTATTTGCAATATTTTGCCCTGTGGATCTCCTGTTTGTTCTGGAGCTGAAAAGTTTTTTCTTTCTGAAAACATAATGCTGGTAAACTGCATAGGGCATCCATTTCTGACCATTTCCAGTAACTTCAGATCCTTGTGTTCTAGGTACGGAAGGTAGACCCACCAAAAGATCAGATGGACAAAGAGTGGGAAGAATTCCAGAAAGAAATCAGGCAGGTTAACACGGTAAGCCATTAAGAAGATGTGGAGCAAAGTGAATAGCAATCGGTTGTTCAGTCTAATTTCTGGAGAAATACTTCAAAATTTGTATTTTAAGAGACCCATTTTGTTAGGTTCCTTTTCATGGTTCTTCCTCTTGCGCCCGCCCCCCCACCGCCACTTTCCCGTAGACCCCAAACATTAATCCCTAGTAAGGAGTAAGAAGTGTGACTACTTCTTGCTAATGCAGCTAGGTATTAGATTTTAATTCGCGCTATCAACAAGAACTTGCAAAATTGCACTTATATAGTGGCTTCCATGCAGGATAGTGGCTCAGAGTGTTATGGAAATCATCAACCAAGGAAATGGTTGATGCAGCTCCACACAGCCATTGTATTCCCCAAATTAACAGAATTTTAAAGACATGTCCCATTTCCTGAACTGGCATTATTAATCAACAACAACAAGATTCCATTTATAGAGCGCCTTTCACGTCGGGAGGACGTCCCAAGGCGCTGGACAGTTGGGTCAGGACCCGAGCATTGGGGGAAATGGTCAGGGTGAGGGGAGGGAAGGGAGGGAGCGAGCGAGGAAGGAGTAGAGAGTCGAGAGGGGAGCTGAAGGCACAGTCAAAGAGAAAGGTCTTGAGACCGGCCTTGAAGGAGGAAAGGGAGGAGGCGGCGAAGGCACTGGGGGATGGAGTTCCAGAGCCTCGGGGCTGAGAGGCTGAAGGCCCGGCCACCGATGGTTGGGGCGGGGGATGTGGAGCAGACCGGAGCCAGAGGAACGGAGGGTACGGGCAGGTAGGTAGGGGGATAGTAAGTCGGAGAGGTAGGAGGGAGCAAGGCCATGAATGGCCTTGTAGGTGAGGATGAGGATCTTGAATTTGATCCTCTGGGAGATGGGGAGCCAGTGGAGGCGAGCGAGGGTGGGAGTGATGTGGTCCCGAAGCCTGGTGCGGGACAGGACACAAGCTGCAGAGTCCTGAATGACCTGCAGCTTGTGGAGAGAGGTGCTGGGAAGGCCGTCGAGGAGAGAGTTCCCATAGTCCAGCCTTGAGGTGGTAAAGGCATGGACCAGAGTTTCAGCAGCGTGAGGGGTGAGGTAGTGCCGTAGTCTGGCGATGTTTCGGAGGTAATGGAAGGCGTTGCCAGTTGTGGCGCGGATATGAGGAAGAAAGGACAGCTCAGAACGCCGAGGTTCCTGACTGACTTTGAGAGGTGGAGAGTGCAGCCTTGGATGCTGATGCTGTTAGCGCCTGAGGTGCGGAGGCGCTAACGCGAGCCAATCAGGAGGGCCTCAGTTTTGCGCACGTTGAGCTGAGCTGAGCTCAACAAGTAGCTATCACTCAAGAAACGATCAGGTGCATTACAAATTGTGTAAGGCAACAAATTATAGAGCTCTCTATAGCCCTACAATAAATATAGGCGTGTATTTAATTGCCTGCATAATCAGGATCACACAAAGTAATTTGATACTCCGTTCATTTGGTATTGTATGTGTCTTGGAATATAATTCCTTGTGGCGCTCCTATAATTTTATAATTTAAAAAAATCCCATTGCTGTTCATGTGCATGCTTTCTAGCCATGGTTACAGGAAAGCAAGCTGAAACTCTTATCTGATTCTCACCTCAACACCAAAATCAATGAAGGAAATTGATACCTTTGACCCCATGCTGTCAGAAATCCAGCAGAATCTTCATGATTCAGTAACACACTATGCTATTTGAACGGTTTGGTTGCTTTTATCTTTGCTGAAAATGTCCATAACCGTGAAATATATTGCTAGGTTTAATCCTTTTGCCTCTCTCCATTTGGAGCGTTTCCATTTTAGAGTAGAATTATATAAGTATTACTGTTTCACATGAAGTGCTGTACATATAAATGTGTTATGTCTTTTATGTTGACTCACAATCTCAGCTCTAGTTCATAAAGGATAATTGTTAGCATTGTTCATTGACATTGTTAACTTATTGATATTGTCCTTCACTCAAAGGTTTCAGAAGCAATTGTGGCAGAGGAGGATGAAGAAGTTCGGCTGGATAGACAGATAGAAGAAATAGATGAACAAATGTAAGTAGATGCCAATGAATTCTACATGAAGAGATGGTCGAGCTGAACCATCGTGTGAGGCTAGGAAAGGGATTATTCCTCTCTTTCACCATCTCTGGTCTCGCTCCGCACATTGGCTGGGCCCAAGGATTTCTCAGCTCCATTTGTTGTCTGGTCATGGAGATCGGTGTTTGAGTGAGGCTAAAAAATACTGACTGAACTGTCAGAATCGTGTAAATATTCAGCTATCAAATGCTGACGGTGCGATCGGGGGGGAAAACAAATTGGGTTGTCTTAGGAGTATCCAAAATGGTGTTGACTTTTTTATAAGCCACCTCCAGGCCAAAATATTGATTTATACGGTGGGGAGGTGGGAGTGTTCAGTTTCAAAGTCAAAAATGTAACATTTCAGAATAGGTTTCAATGTGATCACATTGAATCTGTTATGAAATGTCACCTTTTTAATTCCCTTATCAAAGGATCACTATAGAGGTTCAGATATTGAAGACCCTTCAGCTCATTTGATCTCACTCAACCTTCCAAAAAATTCTTCACATTACAAAATCAAGCTTCTCACAAATTAGTCCTACGCTCTTGCCTCTAGCACGTTTCCTGGGACTTCTTTCAGCTATTCATTATGTTTTGTAAATAAATATTTCTTGGTGTCTGTCCAAAACTTGCCCTTCAGTTTTCATTTTGTAACCTATTGTCCTATTGTGATGTATCGAAAAGTTTATTACCTTCATCCCATTAAGCACCTTATATGCTCCTATAAAGTTATTTCTGAGACATCTTTCTAAAGTTGAAATTTCCTAGCTTATTTTATCATTTGTCATAGCTCAACCCTGTATCACTGGATATCAGCCTAATAGTTCTCCTCTGCACTGCCTCTAGCAGCAAGAGCAACTCCTTATATCACGACAACCAGAACTATACACAGTACTCCTGGCACAGCTTGACCAAAGCAGTGTAGAATTTGAGCATGTTTTATGTGGATCTATATTCAACTGATGGCAATATTGGACATCTTCTTTGCTTGTTTTTTTACTGCCTCACCCTGTTTGATAGTGTTCAATTCCAGCAGGGCAAAACATTGGTTTCCTTACTCCATGCACCTCTGTTTACCCAGCAATAAGTAGGAATCTGGCTGTTAGTTAATTGGTGGATCGCTTTTCCAGGGGTAATAATCCTTTCAAAATAAATAAATAATAAAAATTTGGTCACTCAATCGGTGACTGGAACACTGCTGTGCGCAGTTGGCTGCCATGTTTTGCCCATAGAATATAGTCAATTCACTTTACAGTTTATTTTGTGAAGCGCTTTGAGATGTTTTGAAGACGTGATAAGGTGCTATATCAATCACAAGGATTATTATTGTGAGCAACGAGTTAACTAACAGCACAAAGTCTTTTCATCTTTTCCCTTGGCATGTTCTGTCCCATCCATGGATTACATGTGCCTGCCTATTTTTACTTCCTATATACAGTAACGTGCATTATTTATCTTCATTGAACTTCTTTAATAAACATGCTGAACTGGCTCCAAAGTGACATGTTTGGCAATGGAATTTCAGAATCGAGTCAGCCCTCTGTGCCGGTTTCAGTAGTCCGGTTACTGAGCCAGGCAGGTCCCCAGTACCTGATGACAGCGCAGCCAGCCTGGCTCATTGACAGGACCTGGAGGGGCAGACCAGTTACTGGGGACAGGGAGTCATCCCATTCAGCTCCTGCTAACTCTGCAAGCCAAACCCCTAACAGGTAGGATGATCCTAGCTCGACAAGCAGTGGGAAAGCTTGCCAGACAGCGAAATCAATGACAAACTATGCAGTTTTAGCTGCTTAGACACCAGTAGTACCCCAACACAGACTCTGGGGTCTCCAATCCTTGGATCTTGCCAACCTGCATCTAATACTTTCCAGAATTAGGTAAGCAGGATGTGTCCATTCCAACAATCTATCTCCGGAATCTCCATGTTTCACCAGGTTTCTGCATGTCTGAAACCCAGCTAACCAAAACATTTTTTAATCTTTACTGAACTTAATTTCTCAGTGAGTTTGCCAGATGCATTTGGTGCTGAGTTTTCTTACGTTCCTAGCTGCCTCCTCTGTGTTGGTGTTGTCTGTAAATCTTAAGTACCTTGCATTGATTCTGCGAACCAGGTGATTTACAAGGAATGAAGGGGTCTTCATCATTGCCCCTGAAGCTTCCCACTGAATACCTTCCCCATTTCAATCCTTTCACATTCAGACTACTCTCTGCTTCATCCCCTTATCTAGTTTATAATTTGTGTCCATTGATCATCCAGTGACATTAGCTTGTATGAACTGCACAAAGTTATCATCATTAGAAGACTCAACATTTTTAAGATAATGCCTGATTCAAATGATGCAACAGGAAGCTGCAATATTGTCAGATATCCATTTGGCAAGTAACACACAAGCTCTCTACCCATTAAACATTAAATTATTAAAAATTAAATTATAAAAATAACTTAATAAATAATAAATTGATCATTTTCAATCCATGACTGTTTGTGGGACACTGCTGTGCGCAATTGACTGCCGCATTTCGCCCACAAATATACAGTCAATTTAATAATAATCCTTGCTTTTGATATAGCGCTTTTCACATCAGGAGGACATCCCAAGTGAATTGACTGTATATTTGTGGGCGAATGCGGCAGCCAATTGCGCACAGCAATGTCCCACAAACAGTCGTAGATTGAAAATGACCAATTTTTATAATTGTTTTTGGTTTTGGAGGGATTATTATTAGGCTCTGTGTGGAGTATGGAAACTTGCCCAAGGTTTCGCCCTCTGCCTGGAATTGAACTTGGGTCTCTCGCTTGCAAAGCGAGTGCTCTAACCACTGAGCTACAGGACTCCGACAATTCACTTTACAGTATATTCTGTGAAGCGCTTTGAGACATTTAGCAGACGTGAAAAGCGCTTTATCAAATGCGAGTATTATTATATTATAACCATCTAAAAATGCAGAGGAAAGCTATTGTACATAGATATTCAAGAGCGTGATTGCTAAATACCCCAATTTTCAAAGTTTTTGTGAAGTGACAAAGCCGCACCTTTATTCTTACTCCCACGTAACAAAACCTTTTTCCTACTCCCACGTAACAGATACATGCCTACTCCCACGTTACAAATACCATGGTTATTCATCTTGTCACTTATTGTGCTTTATAATGTATTGGTATTTTGAAGAAACAATCTGCATAAGGTTTACCAAACTTATTTGAAAAGGGAGTTGCAACACAATACAAATATATGTTTATTTAATGGCTTTCAGTTCTGGAGGATGTCATAATGTGCTTAATATTTGCTTTGCACCTGAGCTTGGCTAAAAGAGACTCGCCTTTTTCATTGCAATAATCACATCTGTTTTACTAAGGTTTCATCAAGTTTAAAAATGCGAACTACATTTCCACGATAAAAGTCCACCTTTAATTCTAACACAATATTAACTGAATTATTTTTAGGTACATACTTTATTCTTAAATCCTTCCCTTGTTTACTCCATGTCCGTGCTCTCTTTCCTCTGTTGGCTGCTCCTGCCTCCATGTGGGCAGTGGTAGAAATGCCTGAGCCCAGCTGACAAATAGGTAGCTGCGCCTCCAGTCACTTGCCGCTGCAGAGATTCTGACGTGTGTGGCTCAGCACCCTGTGATAAAAACTGGGAATTAGTAAGCTCTTTGAAAATTTTGATGTCTCCTCCTTAGCTGCTTGGGACGACAGCAGCTGGAAGGCGTTACCTGGAGTCCGACTTTGTGAAAACACGTTCGTACATCCAGCCCCTGGAATCCACCTCGATTGGCTTTTAGACAGGCAAGCAGCTGCTGCTTAAACTCTGCAGCTCCTGGCCTTCCCAACTCTTCTCTCCACAAGCTGCAGATCATTCAGAACTTAACAGCTCATGTCCTCTCCCGCACCAACCTCTGTGATCCTATCAACCCCACCCTTGCCCGGCTCCACTGGCTCCCCATCCCCAGAGGCTAGAGTTCAAAATCCTCGCCTTCAAAACTCTCCATGGCGGACTTGGTATTCCAGTTTCTGAGCCAGGTGGGTCCGCAGTACTCCAGGGCACTGCTAATGACAGCACAGCGAGGCTGGCTCATCGATGGGACTTGGAAGGGCTGACCAGTCAGTGGGGGTAGGGAATCCTCCGCCTCAGCTCGTGTTAACCCTGCAAGCCAAAGCCCAAAGGGGTAGAGTGGTCCTAGCTGGACAAGCAGCAGAAAAGCTTGTTAGACAGGGCTATGAATGGCAAGCTATTCAGTTTTAGTTGCCGAGAGTCCAGTAGTACCCCCAATGCATATTGGGGTCCCCAAGCCTTGGCTCTTGCCAAACTGCGCCTAATACTTTCCGGAATTGGGTAAGCAGGATGCATCCCTCAAGGGAGAGAGTGCGCATTCCATTTCCAACAATCTGTCTCGGGAAGATAGATGTGTAGGTGAGATGCATGAAAATCTCAGTTTGGTTTGGATACTTTTAAGCATGGAGTATGTGTCAGACACCCAGCTTACCAAAAAAAAGCGCAACTGTGCTGCTGCGTTTGACTACTTATACACAGTCACTACATTTCACAGTAATTCTTGTGAAGTACTTTAAGATGTCCTTCTAACTTGATAACCCACTATATCAAATGCAAGGATTACTATTATTATGAATGCAAGTTGTTATTGCTTTATGACTGTCTCAGTGATGTGAGGGCTTTGAACACAGATGCATCCAAAATGCCCTATGCTCATCTAGTTGATAAAAGATTGTGTTCGTAATGATGTAGTTTGCTCAGTGATGTGTTGCTGAGAAACGGGGCTAGTACACAGACCTGAGTTGAATTGTTTGACGGTGACTTACCTACTGTTGGAGTTGTATGGTGGCACTTCAGACTACTGTAGAACATCTTGATGGATGGACACCGAAAAACAAAGCATTTCCCTTTTTATAGCAGTTTTGTTATCCGAGATGACACTGAGCTCCCTAACTTTATTCTGAATTACAAAGCCC